ATCGACGCTCTTCCGATGTGCGGGCTTTCCACAGTCTAGCCACCCTCTCTGTGGAGGAATTCCTCCTGATGTCCGAATTCAAACTGCCCTGGCACAGCTTGAGGCTGTCGCTAATTGCCTGGGAGAAGAGGCCGACCCTCACCTCCTTTCGCGTAGTTGCAGTGAGTGGGAGGTACACCCCGAACCTCCCTTTCTCCAGGCTAAACAAACCCCGGCTCTCTCAGCTGCTCCTCATGAGACTTGTGCTCCAAACCCTTCTTTGCTCTCCTCTGGACTCAGAGGTGAGACCTCCAGTGTCTTACCACAACATTAAACTGGAGAGTTTTGCTACCCCGTCCTCGTACTGTTTTAGAGCACACAAAGCTCCACGTCAGGATTTCTGATCCTACACTGGGAGAAGATGATTTGCCATAGGGTTTGCCTTCTAAACTCAACATCTCTGCCTTTATGAAAAGACATAAGGGGTTCTGGTGAGCAGTCTCCTTCCTCTGAAACATAGGGGCTTTTGTCCTTTATGTTCCCTTCTTGTTGCTAGTTTGGAAAGCATTTACAGGCCCGGATGTTTCTCTGTCACTAGTGTACGGAATGCTTGTTTCTTTGAATGTTATTACATTAGGCAGATGGAGTAGGTTGGGACAAAAAAGGAGGCTATGCCTTTGGATTTTTTGTATATAGATGTATGCTGTCCATGTCTGTGCTCGTCTGACTGGGTCCTTGATCTCAGCTTTTGACAATCTCTTTTGACAATCTGAAACACGTCCAGATACATTCATTAAGCCATGAAGGCAAGAAAAGAGTAGTTAAAATTTTCATTCTTGGCTCTGACTTATTTGTATTTTGGTGAAAGGTGTAATAAACCATCCTGTTGTCCTGTAGACCAGCAGTGAAGTCCTTCTAAAACTTCTTCTAATTCCTCCTACTCTTATTTTACATCTCCTTTCCATGTTGTTAATATGAATGTATTTATGATCAGGAGGATTTGACCTTCTCAAGGAGAAACAATAGAAACAACTTAAGTGACCAAAAAAAGCATAACATGACCTTTTATGGTTGGAGAAGGAGTGAACAATTAGATACAAAAGCTTTGAAATATTTCTAATTGCTCCTAAAAACATAGTTTAGAAAACATACCCAAGATACTTCAGAGATTTATCAAGATATACAAGAGAATAGGGAAGAGGGAAGCAGTGTGAAACCTTTGAAGGTGTTTGCCACCTTCAAAATGAATGAGCCAAAGCCCTTAATGACAGGTCCCATCTTCCACAAACTCAGCCTTGCTTTGGTCTTTGTAAAGGTCATAGTGCAAGGCCTCTTGGAACATTTCTGGGCACACAGAGGAGAAGACGATGAGGAGGAGCCAGTGATGGATTTGCCAGCAGTCAGTGATGCCTGACCAACCTGATTGCTTTCCATGACAAATGGATAAATCCGTGTAGGAGGAGACACCAATGGATCCTTGACTTCAGCAAGGTTTGTGATTTGGTCTCCCACAATACGCATGTACCCAAACTGTTATGGTCCAGCATGGGTGGACAACTATAAGGGTAAAAAACTGGTTAGATGGTTGAGCACAGCAGGCAGGGGTTAGTGGGTGAGTGAGTCTGTCCTGGGACCTATTGCATTGAGCACCTTTATCAAGAACATAAAGAAGACAGTGGAGAGCAGATCTGAACATGACACCAGGCTGGGGGAACAGTCATTACACTTTTATGCAGAGGGACCTGAGCAGGCAGGAGAGATGAATGATATCGTAGAATCAAAGACTGGTTTGGGTTGGGAGGTACCTTAAAGATCATCTGACTGCATCTGCCATGGGCAGAGACACCTTCCATTAGACCAGGTTGCTCAAAACCCCATCCAACCTGACCATGAGCACTTCCAGGGATGGGACATCCACAACTTCTCTGGGCAACCTGTTGCAGTGCCTCACCACCCTCACAGTAAAGAATTTCTTCCTGATATCTAATCTAAATCTACTCTCTTTCAGTTTGAAGCCATTCCTCCTTGTTTTATAACTATGTGCCCTTGTAAAAAGTCCTTCTCCAGCTTTCTTGTAGGATCCTTTCAGGTACTTGAAGGTTGCATTTAGGTCACCTGGGAGCTTTCTCTTCTCCAGGCTGGACAATCCCAATTCTCTCAGCCTGTCCTCAGAGGAGAGGTGCTCCATCCCTTTAATCAGCTTGGTGATCTCCTCCGGACTGCTCCAACAGGTCAGTGTCCTTCCTGTGCTGAGGACCTCAGAGCTGGACCCCAGAGTGTTCCAGGTGGGGTCTCACCAAAGCAGAGTAAAAAGGCCCCTCCCTCACCCTGCTGGCCATGCTGCTTTTGATGCAGCCCAGGATACAGCTGGCTTTCTGGGCTGCAAGTGCACATGGCTAGCTCATGTCCAGCCTCTCATCCACCAGCATCTCCAACTCCTTCCTGGCAAGGCTGCTCTCAATCCCTCCTTCCCCCAACCTGTGCTGATAGCGTGAGTTGCCCCAACCCAGGTGCAGCACCGTGAACTTGGTCTTGTTGAACATCATGAGATTGCCATGGGCCCACTTCTCAAGCTTATCCAGATCCCTTTGGGTGCCATCCTGTCCTTCAGGTGTGTCAGCTGCACCACTCAGCTTGGTGTCATCTGCAAACTTGCTGACAGTGCACTCAATTCCTTCATCTGTGTCATTAATGAAGATATTAAATAACACTTGTCCCAATATGAACCCATGAGGGACAGCACTTGTCACTGATATCCACTGGGACTCTGAGTTGTTGACCACTACCCTCTGGATACCATCAATTTCTTATCCATCTAACAGCCTACCCATCAAATCCATCTCTCTCCAACTTAGCAAGAAGGATATTGTGGGGGACCCAAAGGCTTTAAAGAAGTCCAGATAAATGACATCTGTAGCCCTTCCCTTGTCCACATCAGTATTTGGTAATTGAGAGATAATGTATTGGCTCATGCAATTAAGTGACTCATGAAGTATCAGCTTTGTAGGCAAGAGAAGTTTCAGATTTGTAGCTTTTTTACCTCTCCAAGTTGGTTGATGATCAGCAAATCCTGATCTTCATTTAAATAGGATACCTTTTTTTTTTTTTTCCCAAAAAAATCTCACAACTGAAGAGATAAGGAGAATGTTAGATCACATTTGTGCACTCTTTGTCTGCAATGGAAAACAAAAGACAAATTCAACTTTTTATACCTACACTACAAAAAAGTATAGGGAGGTACCTAGTATGTTTTCTTTTTTGCTTCATAGTAGCTTTACTTCCTGAAAAAAAATAATTCTTTATGACAGCTGTTCTGATCACACTAGAAATAAATCAAGTACAGACTTGTTAGGTAAAGGCACCAACAACTGCCCCTGACTAAGAGAAGCAAAAGCTCTATATGGAAAGCTGACACAAAGTTCTGGCTCAGTTCCAAGTTATGCAGTAAGATAGCTGGTATGTCTTTCAGCGTTTTATTTATTTTTTTTATTTATCCTGATTAAGAGATTACACCTTTTTAGGTAAAAGGTATAATATAGAACACATTAGACTACACAATCTAAAAAAAATATTACATATTAATATTTATATATCATATATATACCCAGTTTTCACATGGGTACAAGAAGAAAATGCTCCAATTTAAATTCATCCATCTCCTGTGGGGAAAAATCATTATAGTCAGCACTAGTAAATATTTAACAAAAACATAGAGAAATTTATCACAGGCAGACGTAACTGCTGAACTCATATAATATTTTAGCATTTACACTTCTTGCTATCACAGGAGCTTCTCTCGTTCTGCTAGCAAAAGTGGGATTTGTCAATAATAAGCCTTATCAGAACTGAAAGTAAAGAAAACTATGTAACAAGATAGTGAAGTCAAGAGGCTGAAGTTTTATGTCCAATCAGCTAGCAAATATGATGATATGACAGGCAAGCTATTTGTGCTTCAAATACACTGATTTTAACATTTAATAGCTTATTTCCAGCTCTTGCATTTTAGAACAAATAAATTTCTGACAAAGAGCATAAGAGATTTGCTCAGAATTAAGGAATCACTTCTCTGGGAGAAAAAAAAACAACCAACCAGCCAAACAGAAAACCAACTACAGTTTGTTTTATTTATTGTAAAGGATTCTCAGTTTAATTTGTTTGATCATGTTTTTTCCCTGGACTTAGGGAACATGTAAGCAATTCTTGTGAATAGAGTAGCTTAGTCAGTGCATTTTGAACTGCAAAATATGCAGAAACATCCACATGTTACAGATTTTTGTTAAGGTTTGGTAAGGGTTGTGCAAACTGAAAATAAAATGTCCAAGTCTGATGTTGTTAGAACCACATAGCAGCTTCTGATTCTACACTCTAATCATGTATCAGACACCCAGTATATGAAACACCATTTATATATATATATATATATAATTTCTTTCATATATGTATATACACACACATGTATATACATACATATACATATTTATATGTAGCCTTATTTCTCTTTATGTCTGATAGAACCTGTCAGTCCACAGGATAAAAGTACTCCTTCACCAGCAAGCATATAAGGAAACACCGCCTGTGCTAGACTCCAGAGCGATGTGGTCACACATGAGACACTCCTTTGGCTGTGTCACTGGTGCCCACATGGCTGACAGGAGGTGATGGTCTAAGGGCTTGACAAAAGCATCCCAGACTAAGGGTCCTGGCAAACAGCAAACCTTTTGAGACAGCAACTATGGTCAGTGAAAGCAGAGTCTGCAGCCACCATCACTCACTCTGTCCTCATGAGGGGATATGTTTCAGGCTCAGATGCCTTTCCTGACTGAGCTCGTTTCCATTTAACTGTTCTCAGAGTGTTGCACCTGAGTGTCCTCAGTTCATACCTGCATGAGCAAGAGGAGCCATTCTCCTCTTGCCAGGAGTGGCAAGCTCCTAACCTTCCCACCTTAGGAGTCCCTGCCTACTACAAACCCAAGCTTGCCCTTTAGCCATCCCACTTCTTAAGCAGCTGTTGCAGATGAATTCTTTCAAGAATTCATCTTCATGAAGTTTAAGGGGTTTATTGATGATTATAAAATTAGAATTAAACAGCTATTAAATGATAATTAAATAGTAATATGATTAAAAAACAGCTGTATAGGAGAGCTCAATGGGCTCAGGGTGGGGCTACAGATGTCTATAGCGTAATGAGATGGATTTGTAGTCAACTTGCCTAGGTGCAGGAGTACAGCTAGAGGAGTTGTAATTTTGTCTAGTCCCAGCTCAGGTTGATTCTGTCACCTCCTGATAAGCTGTGGCCTAGGTTCCTTGGTTCCTAAGAAGATAATGGCCCGTTACAGTTCTCTAGGTTTACGCACCAGGGCTGATTTTGGTTGGACCTGCTTGTCGGTGCTGCCCGAACCGAAATGCTCTCACTCATTCAGAGCACATGCACCTGCCACCACAGCACAGGGCTCCAGCACTCACCTCTGCACAGCTACCTCCTTGGAGCGATCCTGTTCTCCTGCCCATCTTTGTGGTTGTTGGGACGGACTATGACATGTAATATTCAGCAAGGAAGTTTATTGGAAAAGAAAAAAGGAAGCAGCAGCAGCCACAAGCTGCAATTTACAGCCTCTTAAATGCAGCTCTTTTGGTACACGTATATCACACAGATAGGTCAGCTTAAATACACAAACTACAATTCTCACAGCTAATAGGTAGATTTTAGCTGGACTTTCTCTGGACTTTCTCAGTCCTACTTTCTCACAACATTTCTGTGCACCTGTCCCTGTTTTCCTTTGATGTTTTGTGGCAGTAAATCTGCATTATATGGGAAAACTGTTGTTTAAACTTGTCTTAAAATGGCTTCTGGTGGTCTCTTTGCAAACACATGCTTCTTCTTCCCAACACCCCCCATGACAAGTGTTATCCCATGCAGGAATGTCCTGAGAGATATCCTGAGGTGTTCTCATTGGCCCCTTTTAACCCCTTCCTATTGGTTGTTAACCCCTTCCTGCGACCTGTAGTTGGTTACTCTGTGAATCCTCCTAAGCCTATAAATGTAAACCCCCCAACAGTAAACTCCCTCTTGCCTCCTCTCCACGCTGGTGTGCTGTCTCTGTGCCTGCCATGGGGCCACGTGGGTGGAGAGAGAGGAGAGCACCTCTCCCCTCCAGGCTCAGGACCTGAAGAAACCCCTGATGCTGGAGTTCCCTTTCCCTATCCTTCAAGACGTCGGAATGGTTCCTCAGATGGAAAAGGAACTAGAACTGGGTCGCCCCACACCAGGGGGTAAAAGAGACCCAGAATGTTTATATTTTTCTCAGTCACTCTGTTCAAAACAAGTCCTTGTTCTCGTGAGACAGTGTTCCCTGTTCCCATGGGACAGCTCTCTCCTGCTGCTCCTCTGCTCTCTCAGGATGCATCAGTACGTTGTCAGGACCAGGGCCTCCATTCTCAGCCAGTTTCTTGTTCCATACCAGGGGTCCCGGCCCAGCTGAAATTCCCCACACATCTTCTCTGATGATGTGTGGTGTGCTGAC